ATAAAATTTAAACAATAAACACAGCAAGTATGTTAGTGTCAAAACCTTGAACCTGACCTGGGATACCGGGTAAACAGTGTAGGCAAGCCAGAACTATAATGATGTGGTCAAATTTGCTTGCACTAACCTCCAGTCTGGCTGCTGCATTCTGGACCCACTGAAGTCTCTGAATCAGGGTCAAGGGGAGCCCAACGTAGAGGGCATTGCAGTAGTCAGTCCAGGAGATTACCAGGGCCTGCACTAAAGTCCTGAGGGAGTCCTCGTCTAGGTTGGGGCAAAGTTGGGTGATTAGTCTAAGCTGGTTGAAGGCTGATCTAGACACAGCTGCAATATGGGACTCCGAAGAGAGAGCTAGGTTCAGAAGAACGCCCAAATTACACAGTTGGTCTTTAAACTGGAGGGGAGTATCTTCCAGCCAAGGGACCATCCCCCTAAACCCATCGGAGGTTCCCCCCCACCCGGAGCAAAATCTCTGTTTTGTCCTGGTTCAGTTTGAGCCTGGTATGACTGCAACTGATTGGCCACCACCCTCTTGATCACCTTGCCCAGGACTGGTATGTTAGCGATTTGATGAAAATTGTTAAGATTGAACGTATGAGGTAGGGGGAGGATGTACTGAGGCCTGTTATACTCTTCTCCCAGTAACCCTGCCACCTAGACCAGTGGTTCCCAACCTTGGGTCCCCATATGTTCTTGGACTACAACTCTAAGAATTCCTAGCCAGCAAAGTTAGTGGTGAAGACTTCTGGGCATTTAGTCAATCTCAAGACCTAAGATTGGGAACCACTGGCCTAAATTATAGCGGTGACCAGAAACAGAATTTTCAGTGATGGTTTATGGAATGGCCTTCTCAGAGAGGACTTTGAGATACGTTATTATCATGTAGGCACCAGACCAGTGTGTTTCTATCTTTCTAAGATTTTTATAACTGTACGTAATTGTAGTACAGTATTTTCATTTTGTTTTTCAACTTTGGCTTTGTTCAAATAAACAAAAAAACACCATTTCAGTCATGATTTGATTTTAATTTTGTATATGTTGTCCTTTTTTGTATTTTATTTATATTTGCATTGTGTGTCATCAGGAACACAATGTCATGCTGAAAATGTAAGGTATAAAGTAAATAAAGAAAGACAATACTTATGCTCTCAGAATAGCCCGTTCTGAATGTTTATTGACTGATCTGGCCTGGTTTTATTTTAGGAATTTGCAACTCATGGAAAACCAGGAATGAATGTTGTAATTGCAGGACTGTGCAATGTTTATACACATTATATAACTACTTTTGAAGAATATCAGGTAAAAACACTGGCAGCCCTAAACCAAAACTTTTTAAATGTTTAATGTTTTATTAAGGTCATGAGCTCAAAACAAAACAAAACAAAATGTACCCACATTTATTTGTCTCAATGAAAAACTGAGAATTAATTGCCACTGAGAATAAATCTGGATGAATGTGGATATCCAATATGCAATATATCTGTGGCTTATGGCACCTCTTACACTCTGTGTGTTGTCTAGTGATCTGACAAAACCATGGGATATTGAATCATCCAGGCACTCTTTTCTCACTTCGTAGATTCAGCGATATGAAGGAGCATCAACCATTTATGGACCACATACTTTGTCTGCGTACATTCAGTCATTCCGAGGTCTAGCCAAGGCTATTGCTACGGTAATAAAAAACTGTATGCATATAACATCAAAAACTGTGGCCAAGAATGGGTTCCTTACATCCTTTATTTCATTAGAAATAGAAAAGTAGATGCTTTCTTGCCTCAGTGGCTTAGGTCTCTGGCTGTGAAGCCAGAGGTTGGGAGTTCAATTCCCCACTGTGCCTCCTTGACAGGAGCTGGACCTGATGACCCACAGGGTCCCTTCCAGCTCTGCAGTTCTAAGATGAGGATGATTTTAAAAGCCAGCTTTTAAACTTCTTCAAATGTCCTCATTACAGGAAGTCAGTGTAAAAACATTATTCTGGCTAGATAGCACCTACTTTCTGAAGTCCTTTAACCAGCAAAGAAGAATTTTATCTTCAGATAGGCCCCTCTCATTTAAGGTCAGTTACTATAGGAAAGGGCTGTTGTTTTCATTAGCAAAAGTATTTTAATTGTGTTTTATATTTGTGTCTATGTTTTCATTGTATTTGGTTTCACTGGAATTTTTCTGTTGTTAGCCACCTTGAATGCCATTTTGGCCATAAACTTAAAAAGAAAATTATTCATCCTTTTCATTGATTTCATAAGCCAATATCCCGTGGTATAGTTCTGCTGGATTCTGCTGCTTCTGCCAGTGGAATCAGGACTTTCTTCCTCTCCTGGTACAGCCCTCTGTAGCACAAAGAACATGCTCTATAAGTTATACCGGCCTTCCAGAGCAGGTTCTTAAGCCAGGGGAGGGAGGAAGCTGCAATGGGAAAGGCTTTCCTTTGCTTTCCAGTTCCACTGGCAGAAGCAGCAGCTCATTAATAGATGAAATGGTGGGTCTACTGCAAGGGCTCCTGGGCAGATGCAAAACAACAACAACATGTGACCCTCATTTCCACTAGTCTCATGGATCTACTGGAGATGAAGACCATGGGTACCTCTCGCATCTGCCTGGACAGACAGCCTAACTGTGTTGAGCAACTCTTTCAAACCAGAACATCCAACTCTTTCAAGCCAGAACATTGTTGATGGATTTCTGTACACTGAGTCTGACTGTTAGTCCACCTAGTCCTATGGTGCCTCATCAGAAAACAAGTAGCTGACCAACAACAAAAGCTCAGAGAACTATGTATTCCACCATTCTGTCACAACAGTGGCCAACCAGATGCCCAGTCAGAGGCGCACAGATACAACATGAGTATAGCAGTACCTCCTGCTTCGGTTGCCCAGAAACAGGTACCCGTGTCTCCGAAACAGGAGATCATCTTAAGTCATCATGACTAGGAGCCATTGAATGCCATACTCTGTATAAAGGTGGCAAACCTCAGACCCTGGGACAATATCAAGCCCTTCTAGGGTTCCCCCTTGCTCTCTCAGCTTCCCTCAATGGCCCCAGCACCTTCCCTTTCACACCACCCTTTGATGGTGTCTTACCTTTTTCTGCATGCCTTCCCTCTTCTTCTAAAAAGTTGAAATGCATCTCCTAAGGCTTAGTGATTGGGAGTTACGAGATTTAAGGTAGATTACGCCAGTATTTTTGGTTCCCATTCTATACCTGCAGCCTCACCCATCATTACAATGCGGCTCCCAAATAATTTTTCCAAAATTGAATGTGGCCCTCAGGCTGAAAAAGATGCTCCACCTTTGTACTGCATTAATTGCTTGATGTCTCTTTTAAAGCTGTTCATGTAGTCATCATACAGCCACCATTAAATGTTCTGAAACATAGTAATTTTAACTGCAGGCATTGTGAAGAAATATATCTTGTTTCTCAGTGCTGAACATCCAAGTATTTGGCTTCACAGAATAAACGTAGGGTCTACTATAGCCAAGGGGGGCAACTTGAAGATATCGTTGGACTACAGGTCCCGTCAGCCATTACCAGCATAGCCAATGGCAATGGGTTGTGGGTGTGATCCAACAAGATTTTTCAATGGGTGCCAGAAACTGAGCCTCAGACTTTCCATATGCAGAGCATTCTAAATGCTAACATAACAGTCAGATTTTCTAAATGTGGGCCACTGTGTTGCCTTTACACAGGGCACCATCTGCAGACAAAACAGAGATGCCAGTAACCTTTGAGAAACCTAAAGATCTGCAGAAATACAAATCATATTTACAAAGAAAACTCATAGAAGGATATCTTTCCCACTCCACAAAAGGATCCAATAAAGAATTGAGCATGCTTAGAATATCGGCCCAAAATTGGAAAACCTGAGTACAAGGGAGTAAATTGGAAGTGTCTGAAAAGAGGGGATGTTCACCAGCTGGCCGGAACTCTGGACGGTGCAACCTTTTATTAAAAATAAATTTCAATGTATTAAATACATGTAAATACAGTCACTTAATGTTTTATTAAAATGTCTCCCTTTCCAATTGCCCCCTTTTCCTTTACTATATCCCTTGGTTAAGATGAACTGTCAGTCTTCATTATATAGCAAATCTGATTTATTTAGGGTACTGTTCCACACTTACGAAAATACCCAGGGCCATCTATTTTCAACATAACAAATTTGAGCTTTCTGCCTCTTGTGATCGACGCAAAGCCACTTGGTCGTAAATATGGAGATGTGCTACAAGATGTACAGCCAAAGTACCAAACGGTATGTACACCTGCCTTTTCAACAAAAAATAAATCAACAAAACAAAGCCTTACTTCTTTCTTCATGAGTGGCACTATCAATAGGGAGTTAGTTCCATTTCTTAATACTGTACTTCCTATATACTGATAGTCAGCTCATTCCTTCTGTCATCCAGTATGGTTACAAGCAGTAGGATGAACACAAAAATAAAATTGTGGGTAGGGCCACCATAAGGATGGCCACAAAAGACTCGGCTGAAGACCAAATGTTCTCTCTGAGGAAGAAAATAAAAATAAGGAGTAGAATGGAGTAGAATGAAATATCTTCAAAGAGAGGATATTTGTCAACAAAATGTCTTTAATTACAAATATAAGCTGAATTATAAATTAAGTGCAAGGACTAAAATCATTTTTAATGTGTTAACATTTAATCTCATTCTTGACAAAAGCCTTTTTCTGTAATATAATAATAATTACGTATAATGATTCATATTTATTTTTCAGATAATGTTTGATCACCATTCTAGATAAAATGCCCAATACAGCTGGCAACTTACCATTTTTTTTTTTAAATTTGAAATTTCCAAATAGAGTAACCCATTCACACACCAAAAGGAGGAGATCCAGCTTTATTAAAATATAGATCATTTGCCTTTCTATTTCAGCTCTTTTTTAAAATTATGAATTAGATAGGTCAGAATCCTATTACTTCCGCCCACAAAGTACATTGGCAGAAGTCTCAAGTCTTGCTAGTTAAAACATTGGCCTTTGCCTTTGTTGTCATGTGATTGCCAGGATCACACAGGACCACCTGTGTGTGATCCTTGTTGGATCACCACAAGTGATCCAAAATGCAACCTATTTCTTAGTGTGATCAGACAATAGGTGCATGGCAAACGCAAATGTCATTTTCTTAGCTAGTGGCAAATCGCCACTGAAATTTACACTTCACAACAGTGTAATTGTTCATGTTGGAATTTTGGCATCTAATTTTACATTATATATGATTATATATAATTATCAATTATATTTATAATTGATGGTGAATTTTGCATTTTTTTAAAAAAAAAACATGGAATGCACCCTATGTCTCTATTTCCCACTGGACTAGGCAACGGATTATTTTCCTGTTTTCTTCTGCCCTTCACCACCCATTATTTTTCTCCCTCCTTTACACCTGCAGTTTTTTGTTTCCACTTCAGTGGACTTAAGTGCAGGTGATTCCAGTCAAAGATTGTATTCACAGATGATTCAATTCATCATGCTGTATGGAGGATTCTGGGAGCTATAGCCCCCAAAAGTAACTTTCTGACGTGCCACCACAGGCTTAAGTTGTAAATCCTTTTCATTGTCAACCAAATAGAGGAGAGCTGATCTTCAGCACAGAGTGTCCTCCATCTACACATGGACATGCAGCCAGGAAGCAAGAGCAAAGCAAGCAGAGACAGAGAGAGGGTTCCATGACACTCAGTGCGGCCATCATCCATGTTAGTTGCTTCTCTCCAGTGAAAGTCAACACTCTGTTGAGACTAGAGATATGGCTGTTTTTAATATGGGGTGGGGGCAGAGACCCCAGCAACTGGGTATTTGACTTTCCACAGACACACTCTGAAGCCGCCTGAAAAGGATTCAGGCTGGGTGCTGCAGTAATATTTCTAGAGTTGGGCATGAACCGCGGCTTGGAGGTTTGTGCTGGTTCAACCCTCCAGCTGCACAGCTGTTCTGCAGGTGTCCCAGCTCGCTGGCTCCACCTCTTCCAGCAGGCACCCACTCAGAGGCAGCAGTATGGCTTCATGCAGTTTGTGCCCATCTCTAATTATATTTCCAAAGAAATGAAGGTCTTATACACCATCACTAATCAGTCTGTGAAACTTAGTCCCACTTTTAAGAAAGCATTATTTATTTCCATTCTGGAATCCTGAAAAATGTGCATTATTTCTGCAATACATATACTGTATCACTAGGCCGTAGAATTTTCTTTTCACACTTAAAAATACATGAACACTTCATCCCAAAATTGGTACCTTGTAACATATACCCATAGCTATGAATGCTTGTACAGATAATACAGTGCTAGTACAGTACTGGGGAAATTACTTCATTCAAACAAGAGTGAACCACTAGACGTGGGCTATCTGCAGATACAAAAATGAATAGGACCACCACAAGTGCCACTGAGGCCCATTCCCTCCCCCCAGAAGTGGCTGGTCCTCTCATCATTTGCAGTTTGGTGCTCATCTGGGTTGTTGTTGTTGTAGTCACACAAATCATGGAAGGAGCCTGGCCAACTCTTCTCCGCCTCCCACACAGCTGACCACTCCTTGGCCGAGTGGGGAGATTCCCCATCCTGCCTCCATGCTGCAGTGGTTGGCTGCATGGGGAGACAGGGAAGAGCCAGACAGGCTCCTTCTACAACTGGTGCAATGATGACGACAGTAGAGCTGAGTGTCACATTGCAAACGGTGAGTGAACTGGCCAGTTCTGGGGGGAGGGAATGGGCCTCTGTGGCGCTTGTGGTGCTGCTATTCGTATTCATATCCCCAGGGATACAAATATGAATAGCCCATGTCTATGAACCGCCTAATTTCAGCAGGTTTGTCCAGAAGGAATATTTGACAACTTATATTCTTATATGTATGCAACACAGTCTTCACTGGCTGAAATCCCATTGCGCAGTTATGCAAATGGCATAATCTTGAGAGGCAAAGTGCGTAAGTTAAAAAATCTCCATAGACCACATGCGGACTCTTGCGACTCAGTATGCAACCGGTGATGTCTATGTAGTTTCTTAACTTTCAGCAACTCACTTCGAAAGATTATGTTGTTTGTATAACTGAGCTATGGGATCTGTCACTGTCTCATAATGAATTCTGTCTCTCATTTAGGGAGAGGTGGCTACGGCACAGTTTGTTGGTGCGAATCCAAGGAATTCTGTAGCAAATATAGTAAGTACAAACTTCTGAACAGAAAATTCCATAAGATTTCCACTTTCCCCACCCCTAACCCACCCCACATTTACCTGAGGTGCAAGAAATATGGGAGCTTGAAAGAGGAGAAAACTAATTGCCTCCACCAGTGAATCTAGGACTTATAAAAGCAAAATGCCGTGGAAAAAAACTGAAAACGAAGCATGAAGGTCAGTCAGATCAAATTTACTGTTTGTATGAGATAATCTCTGGAACACAATTTTCTACCCTGCTGTTTAGTTTCCCGTTAATTCTGTGTTTTTTCCTCAGACAACTTTTAGGTTCCTCACAGTAGAAAAATACGACAACAGCTCTCAAAGTTGGCACGTGGAATCTGATGATGCCTCGTGGGATACTAGGTGAGCAGTTCTAGGAAGACTTCCCCTTTTGTTCTACAAGGCACCAAGATCTATTTGCAGAATTTCCTGCATCTTGCAGTCCTTAAGGGGGCAGCCTCTTTCCTGTTTCATTATAATATGGCATAAACTTATTTCCCTTTCTAATGATTTTTTTGGCTTCGGAAAGGAAGAACATTTCCAGAATAGACCTTGAGTGTAGCTGCAAAAGCAGATTAAAGTATTTGAAGAGGTCATTGCAACATTGGTAATTTGCATGGTGGTTCTTTAATTTCTTGGGTCTTGTCAATAGAGCTCTAGATATACAGCAATGTAGCAAATTTCATCAAGAGTCAAGAGGCAGGTTTTATATGAAGAAGCAGAGTCTTGGTATGAAAAAGTGGAGAAACAGACGAGATGGGGGAACATTGTAGAAATGTTTGCAATTGGGCCTGATCATATTCTATAAACTATATTTCAGTGAAATGTACTTTTCTGGTATTCTATCAATAATCTTAAGGTTTTTCCCCATTTTTACAGACATGTTGGTGCATGTATAGCAAACTGAGGTAGAGCGTTCATTCCCCTTAAAATGTGTGAACGAGTTTAATCCACAATTCTTCCTTCTCTTGCTAGGTTCATCTGGAAGAAAGGCAGTTTCGGAACCAGCACAGTTACAATGGAGTGGCACATCCCAAACAGCACTGCTCCAGGAACCTACCGATTGCAATATTTTGGTCACAGCAAAGAATTACTTAGCTCGATCCATGCATTCAGTGGAACATCTTCACAATTTGAAGTTTTGAACTGAACAATGCAGTTGTCAAGTGGTGGGAAAGCATCCCTTTTAATCCATTTTTATTTTGAATAAATGGGAGGCTTTTATGCAGCAGCTCATAGGCACACCTGCCTTGCTACCTACCAGTCCATGACATTTTCCACTCTCTCTACCTACAGTGGGATCGAGGGGAAATCATTCTCATTTCAGCAGATGCATAGATTTCAACCATGCCCCGTTTCCAATCTGGCATGTGAACTCAAAGCGCAGTATTTACTAAAGCATGTCATGAAAGAAGCAAGAATGACTTCCATTTGAGAAAGCATAAGAACAAGTCTAAGTTGTTTTTGTTCTTGGTTTTTAATTATTCTCACTTACCTGTAGCATAGTTTCACATGCAAAGTGGAGTAATGCAAGTGACAGGGAAAATCACGCTAAGGCAGAAGTGATATTCATGAAGGACTTTTGCAGGTGTGAATTGTGCAATCAATTACAGTATGCACTCAAACTACACAATAAAGAGTGCCTTGACTGCCTGAGCATAATCCCCCGCGCAGTTATGCTAGTTATTCAACAGGATTTCAGTCAGTATATTTTTTTAATTACTTGTCTCAGCTTTGAATTAACAATATTTCTTAATAAACTCAACATCTGGTTGCTTCATCATTATGTCTGCTTCACATCCCAAAGAATGCAGAGATTAGGATTAGAAAGTTTTGAGCACGCTGTGAATCAACAGTACCTGGTTAATTTAAGGTGTGACTGCACTGACTACATTAGTAATTTCTTCCTGCAGTAAATTGTAAAGTGCTTCAGCTTGCTAGATATGAGTGCACCAAGAGAACAGCAATCGTATACTCCCCTCTACGCTGACAATATAGTAACTACAGAAAAGATGTTACTACTGGAGAAGACTTGCTGGCTGAAGGGAGGTGAAAGCTAAACACTGACTATGAAACCTCTTAGGAAAAGCAGAAAGGGTTCATTTTAAAATACAATATATGAAAATACCAGGGACTTACCTTGTCAACACATCTTACAAAATACCCAATGTTTAATGATTTCAAGCTCAGCTTACAGCTCATATGTTTTGAAGCTTAGTTTGTGGTCACCACAAACTGCTGCGCTCATGAGGTTACTCAACAAGCAAGCATGTGAATGGAATACAGTGGGGGCTCGACTTACGAACTTAATCCGTATTGGAAGGCAGTTCTCAGGTCGAAAAGTTCTTAAGTCGAATCTGCATTTCCCATAGGAATGCATTGAAAACCATTTAATCCGTATCTGCTCTTTTCGTCCATAGAAACTAATGGGAAGCTGCTATTCCGCCTTCTGCCACTAGAGGGGGATATTTTTCTTTTTTTCCTTTTAACCTAAGATGACTTAGCTTTTTAAAAAAGGGGAAAAAAGAGTTCGTAACTCGAATCTAAGTTCGTAAGTCGAGTCCATATATTCCTATGAGAGCGGTTCGTAAGTCGAAACATTCGTAGGTCGAGCCGTTCGTAAGTCGAGACCCCACTGTACCTGTACTGACTGCCTTGTCTTCTATGAATATCTCGACATATTTAGCTACCTTTCTGTGGCTTGAATACATGAGGTCAAAATTAAGCACTGAAATAAAACAAAGTAGCCGAACCTTAAGGCTGCTTAGGGTTTAAGGGAGCGTGGCCATTTATACCTCTTCCCTGTGACAGTTCCTTCCTGAGTTACTAGAGAGTTGCCGTAACAAAATACTTCAAACAAAAATCTTGTTTCTAACACTCTTTCAGCTAAAAACAGCCTTCATATTGCTCTCGTGTTATTAATTTATTTTCAAACACTTTGAAGAAGAAGAAACCTTTGGGAATCATCAGGCTTCTAAAGTCATATCCCAGTCCAGTTGTTTATCAAATCTAGACATATTATTATCATTAGAGCTGATTGCATGACACTTTAAATAAGATCAACCATGGTGTAAATCACCCAACACAAGCAAAGTCCCTTTTCAAAAGATGCTGAGCCCTGTTCAAAGGCCATATAAAATGTATGTTTTGCTGGACCTTCTCCCCCACAGGCCCTCGCTTCAGCTATTCCAGGCAAGAGCAATCAAGTGCAACATTGAAAGGCTTATTGGGCCAACATGGGCTTAAGCATTGTGTCATGATCCCTTTGAAAGCCCAGAGTCTTCTTTCTTTGTGCATGGAAGTGACTTCTGATTATGACCACTATCTGCACTCAGATCCTAAAATATCTTTTTCTTCCTCCTCTCTCCTTGTTAGACATGGGCTTTCTATCTTGTCAAAAGGACAAAAGAAAAAAATCTGTTTGAGAAGTACCCTCCCTTCCTCCCTCCTTCATTCCTTTCCCAAGGGAGAAAAAATCTTCCAGAGTGTAGCATACTTAGCAAAATCTATTTTCGCAAAAAGTTTAATGGGTACACTAAGGGGAATTTATTGCACGTTGTCATCTTTTGCTAAAGGCGTTTGCCTCACTAGCCAGCAATTCCACCCCTTTTTGCTCTAATTCCCCAGTCACAGAATAAGCTATTGCTCCATTTGTCCAGCTGGTTTGCTTGGCATTAGAATCTCTGCCCAATGGCCTTGAGGGAGTCCGTCTTGCTCTCTTAGCTAGTCTTGCACAGCACAGCAACATCGAACTGAAGATCATGGAAAACCCGCACAGCAGGAACGATGTGGTGTAATTTCCAGTGGTATCCACAAGCCAGCCTATGGGAGAACACACAACATCTCTTTAAAGGAAAGTAACTGTGAAGAAAAGTAACATTTACATTTTTTTGTCCTTGCCAAAATAAGCTTTCATCTTCCAAAAGGTCTGGAATTTCCACACACGTACACATTTTCAAGGCAAGTCCACCCAAAAGGCGGGAGGGAGACATTGCTCAACCACATCAGAGAGTTTTTGGGTCCCTTGTAGAGTGTTTTTGGTGACCTGTGAACATCTTCCTGTTCTGGCTAACTTTGGATGTACGCTGCAGCTCAGTGGTAAAGTACATGGTTTGCAAGTAGAAGTCCCCATGTAAATCCTAGGCATTTCTACACAGGGCTAGGAAAAGCTCTTGCATGTATATAATTAGTACATATATATTAACTGTGCACAGGGGCTTATAGTAAATGAAGCTCAGAAGCTCAAAAGTGACATAATGTTAACACCGTATTCAAAATAAATAAATCTGTTCCAGGGGGGCTGGAAACCAAGCTTTATGAGGAAAGGCTGAAATAATTGGGCATGTTTAGCCTTGAGAAAAGAAGACTAAGGGGTGATATGATAACACTTTTTAAATATTTGAAAGGCTGTGATACAGAGGAGGGGCAAGATCGGTTCTCGATCATCCCAGAGTGCAGGACTAGCAACAATGGGCCCAAGTTAAAGGAAGCTTTAATATCCATCTATAACAGTGGCCCCCAATATCAGTTGAATTTCAGTTGAGCACGGGGTTGGACTTCATGGCCTTGTAAGCCCCATCCAACTTCACTTTTTTATGATTCTGATATCTCAGTTACAATGGATTGTAGGCCCCTTCCAACTTCACTTTTTTAATGATTCTAATATCGTACAGTTACAATGGAAAAAAAACTTGAAGCTTTTACTTGACCTGGGGAGGGGGGGGAGAGAGAACATAGGTAACATGAAAGCTAATGAATGGCTCAACTGTAGAACCAAGATTCTGAAAAGCTGTAATCTGCAGGCAGCTTTAGATTTTATTTCCTCTAGAGATTTGCACAAACTGGAAAAAAAACGGTGGTTGGTGATGATTCGCAGTTTGTTTTTCAGGTCCGTGCAGAGGAGGGAACTACCTGCCCCTCCCCCTCTCCAGTAAAGCCGCCTGTGCCTCCACCACAGCTGCCGCCATCCTCACAGGCAGCAGGCCGAGGACAGCCGGATAAGCGCACAAGCCAGGAGGAGGAGGAGGTGGTGGTGGCAGAAGTAGGGAGCCAACTTGGGGGGCAGTGGAAGGGAGTCTGGGCAGCATCCCCTTTGGCCAAACAAAACCAAATACCAAGGAGACAAAAGCTCGGTGCTTCATTTCCTTTTGGCAAAACAGGATCCCCAAACCAAACCACAAATCAGTCCAGTTTGTGGGCTTTTCTGGTTTGTGGTTCGGTGCATGTCCATCCCTAATTTCCTGCCTTCTCTTCAGAAGGATCTCCACTGGTACAAATGCCTCCATACAGGGCAGACAGACACACAAGCATATATATGGCTCATTTCACCTCCCTAAGGAACTCAGTTTTCCCTTCTTAAAATAAAGCAAGTTTATTTTAAATATCCCTAAAAGTATGTGGACAATTGCCTCATAATATCTCAAGAGTAAGAGCTGTTGCTGAATCGTTTCTGGTAACAAGGGGGGGGGCTTCTATTTTCTACATTGCTCTTATATGGGTTATAAATTATAATTAAAACCAATCTATCATGTACAACAACACTGGAACCCCCATATTTCCCCAGTGAAGCCACTGTGTTATAGATCAGTGATTCCCAACCTCAGGTTCCCAAATGTTCTTTGACTACAAGTACCAGAAATCATGGCTACTAAAGCTAAAGGGGAAGGTTTGTGGGATTTTTTTAGCCCAAGAACATCTGAGGGCTCAAGGTTGGGGGCCACTGTTATAGATGGATATGGCTTTTCCTATTTTATCCTCATGGCAAAACGTATGGCATAAGATAGGCAAAGAGAGTACTTGGTCTAGGATCAGAGACCTTCATAACTGTATAAAGGTTTCAGCTGCACTCTTTCCCTCCTTCAGCCAAAGCCTGACACTACAATCCAAGAGTGAAGCATCTGTGGTCCCCCAGATGTTCCTGGATTTTAACTCCCATCATCCCAACCATTAGCTATGCTGGCTGGGGTGAATGGGAGTTGGAGTCCATCAACATCTGGAGGGCCCTATGTTCCCAACTTGTCCTAATCACTGCGTCACACCATACTGTTATATACAAATAAGCAAAACAAATTAACCTGGTTTACATAGTTCTGATCTTTTCTGGCAAACAATTTTGGCTGCCTGAGTAGAAATAGTTTGGCCATCGCTGCTTTTTTATATCACAAGAGTACACACAGCAGGCCTGGACACAATATTAAAGGAAACATGGTGTGATTTTGACTGATGGGAGACTCTTCAGGGATCACGGTGGAAGGACAAGAGCCACAGCACATTCTTAGACAAGAAGAAGAAAACAAGATAATTGTTCATAATATTTCATCTTCCAAAGTTACAATAATAATACAGTGGGTTTCTTCTTTCTGCATTTTCCTGGTTTACAGATTAAAATATAAAGAGTATACTGCCCTCTGGTGTTTGGAGTCAAAATTAGTCATTTCTAAAAAAGTTAGCCTGTGCAGGAACGTCAGGCAAAATCAGTGTAAAAATAAATGACAAGGACATTGTGGCACCTTAAAGGCTTTTCTGTTTTGATGTGAGCTTTTTCCAGATCAAGTGCACTTTCCTCAGATAGTCACTATATGATTATCATATTTTTACGTGATCCCATGAGCAGGTTAAGCTACAAATAACGGACAAAGTCACAATGGCTTATTAGTACAGGAATGGGACTACCAAGCTGTGAATAATTGTACCTAAAAGTTACTGCCTATGAGTCTAGAAAGTAATAACAACATCATTGACACAAGTGTTAAACTGTGGGCAATGTAAAATCTCACACTTGTTAATGTACCAGGAATCTTTGATCAAGTATTAATCCTTTTAACATGGTCTCCATCATCTGCATGTACCTTATCTCAGCTGTTTCTCTTTCAGGTCTTTCTGCAGTGATTTTTTTTCCTATGACGGTTATGTTCAAATGATTCAAAGAGTGGCCAACTAGGCTTAAATGTTCCAAACAGATTAAACATTGATCAAGGATTTGTACTTTGCAGAAGCATGCACATTCATGAATGCATATTTTCTGAGACAAAATGAATATTTTGTGAGATATATTTTCTGAGCTCAAAGATATGGGTAAAATTATATTTGCTTATGAGCTCACATACAGTAATTGTACAAGCATCGCAACATCCCCTTTGTGTGATAAGTCATGCAAAATTGGGTATGAGATCAGTTACATGATCAATTACATGACAGCCTGCCAGAAGAAACAGACTGCCATACAGCTGCTCTTATGCCTACGATTTTTGTCCTGTATGTTTAAATACGTATTAATTTCTGCATAGGTTTTCACATGGATTTTTTTAAAAGTGATAACAAAACCCAAAGGATCTGATTCTAAGACAGACCGAAATGAATACTAAATAAACATCCAGAGATTAAGCTTTATTTCATGAGATTGGAAAAAGAGCAAAGGATTTTTTTTTGCCCTGAATTACATTATCGATAACAATAATAATAATGTTTTGTGAATGGCCACTATTAAATAACCACTGTCACGCTTTCTGCATATGTTCTTTCTGATCTGCTACAATTCCCAAGCATATGGCTAAAACATCTGTCAATCTAGGATTAAATCATGTATTTGACAGTGCCATTGATAACTACTGTGTATGTCATAATATCTATTAAAGTAGCCCAAGATGATTTCTTGCTGTTATTTGTGATTTTAAAATGTTAATATTAATTGTAAAATAATTTTTGGTGCTTTTTATACAGAGCACTAGCTTAATATTAAATCTAGTAGAAACCGAGTATTATTTACAACACAGAAAAAAAGGATACAGTACTAGGTTGGGTGAAGAACATGAGAAAAAAAAACCTGGAGCCATATAAAGGATGCATTTACTAACAAGCTTGCATATTACGCTGATTCACATACAAACCGACCTGCAACCGGCGGGCTGATTAGGTATGGTATTGCATGAAGGAAGTACACAACCCCGAGGGCTGAAGACAAGGAAGCAGTGCCCACCACATCCGCTGTCACCACTGGGATTAAAGTGACATAGGCGCCATCGAAATATCCAAAAGTGAACGAGAAAGGCACAAGAACTGGAAAACTCTGGAGAACTGGAAGGAAAAGGCAGCAGAGGCCATCCATGCCCACGGCAAAGAGGTAGCAAATGTAGCGGTACTTTTTCAAACACCTGTAGGGGAGTAAAGAAGACAGGGGAAAAAAGCAGATCAGGCCTAAGAAATTCCTCTTTGGTTTGCACCCTTCGCCCAAGACCTTCCTTCAGGAGGGAAGGGGGGGAAATGTCTTTAGGTGAGATCTGTCTGCCTTGCAGCTCTACCCATCCCTCTTTAAACCGACCTATTGGTTAAAACGAGCCCTTTCTATTTGTGACTACATGGGTGTCTGCAAGGAAGACAAAGGCATGCTTGTCTCCTGACTTGCTGAGTTGCTTGATTATTTTAATGTACACAGATAGATACATGGTGCAGCAGCACCTGCTATGCATGTGAATTACAATAATATAAACCTATGCAGATTTGTCCCCTCATAAATAAATAAATAAATAAATAAATAAATAAATAAATAAATAAATAAATAAAAATAAATAAATAAATAAGAAAGAAAGAAAGAAAGAAAGAAAGAAAGAAAAAGAAAGAAAGAAAAGAAAAGAAAAACTGATGATACTCTTATGTGCTTATTGCCTTTAAAAAAGATACTAGTAGAAAAGTATCTCTGAGCACATGCAGAGTATTTTCCCCTCCCACTTAAGAAGCTGCAGCCTCACTTCTCTACTATCAGAATAAAAGAGAAGAGCTGCTTTCCAGATTTCATGGCAGAATTCCCAAAAAAGAGAGAAAATTATTTCTCTCTTTTCAGAAATTAAGTACAGTATTATCTCACTTTCCTTGTCAATCTTCTGAAAACCCTGTCCTAAGTTATTTGGAAAACCTTCTAACCCATTTTGCCAGTGGAAATACCCAACAAGCTTACATTAGCACTCTCAATTCCACTACAGGTTGCTGCTAGGTTGATATTCACTCTTCTTTCATAAATGTGTTTGTCCAAAGTATTAGATTTCCCACTCATCCTCTCAAAATTCCTTCCCAAGGGGCACACAAAGAAATGTAAAGTCACACGTTTTAAGAAATAAAACAAAGCAGTATGATAACAATAAAGCAAAATAACCTAAAATATCTGAGCACATAGCAACCTTTACTACAATAATGGAACAGGGTTAAATCTCACAGATCTATCTTTAAAAAAGTTTCCCCCACTGTTTTGCTTTTGGGACTTTTACAATTCCCAGAATACTGTACCTTAGTTAGAATCACCTCCTAGGCAAGTCAGCTGGGGTATTTTTGGTGCTGCAGTTCCCCCTGGCCCAAATTTTTTTCCATCTATGGCCACAATTCTCTGGGAAGACATCTCAAGAATAGGATGCCACAACTGAAAAGGCCCTGTCACCAATCAACAATGCAGTATACAACTGTATATTTAAACAAATTATCCCACCATCTGTAGGTTTCCATTAACAAAAGGAAAGGAGGAAAAGCCGCAAGAAGTCAGCTTTACCTCTTCACCGTGTTTTTATTTTTCTATGCTTTTAATTGTATTTATTGTATTATAATTTTATCTTCACTTCACTTTATGATTTTTTATTTACTTTTGTTTGTTTGTTTGTTTGTTTGTTTGTTTGTTAGATTCTTTTATACCGCCCATCTAAAACATGTCTACTCTGGGTGGTTTACATATAACATAAAAAGAAACTGAGGTAAAATCCAAATGAATCACAAGGTCCAAGATGAGGAAAGGAAAAAAGAAGAGAGAGAAAAAAAGAAAAGGAGAGATAGGCTAGGAGGTAACGGCTATAGGGATGAAAGCAATACTGTACATCAAAATAAAATCAACGAACCACCATCTTCCATAAATGTTACTCTGTTGTTTTTTTGTTTTGTAAACTGCCCAGAGTTAAATTAAGATAATAAGTAGCGGTTTTCATTATGACAGTTCTCATGGTCACAATGGCCCACAAGGGAAACAGGCACAAGTTGCTGGAATGCCCACAATGAAGGAACAGGCCTTTTAGAAAGACAACAGCATTCAAATGGCTGTTTAAGACCAAACCGGCTTCAAATACTTCACATTACAACACAGATAGCTTACACCAGTATACTGTTTCTGGTGAAACTCATTTCTCTCCCAGCTATTGCAAAGGATTGCAGTTAAGTTCAATGGTAACAGAGAAGCCTTATGGGGTACGTAGATGATGCCACAATCCCTGATTTTCAAAAAGTCTCGAAGCATTGATCCTGTGAGTCCAGGCCCCACTATATCACTGTCCCTCAAATATGGTGCCTCAATTTACAACCATCTTGACTTGCAACCAATTCAAGTTACAACTGGCTCCGGTCACAGCATTTTGCTTTGACTTACAACCGGCGGCTTTGAGATACAACTGGAAAAAAATACCTCTTTTCTGCATTGTTCCCTCCCTCCCGCCTGCCTTTCCTGCCCTTTTTTAACCTTAGAGGTCCTTTTAGGTTAAAAAAAGAGTCTCTCTCTAGTGGACGGATTAACCACTTTTGCATTAGTTCCTATGGGAACTAATGCTTTGAGAGACCACCAGCACCTTAAGATACGACCAAAAAATGGCCAGAATAGATTAATCGTGCTTCAGTGTATTCCTATGGGAAATGGTGCTTTGAGTTATGATCGAGTTACAACCATCATTCCGGAATGAATTAAGCTTGCAGCTCAAGGCACCACTAATTCAGTCTGACAAAATTTTCACCTCATGAAAAAAAAGTATTTTGCTTACTGTTCTAAATACCAGGTTCCTAGAAAAGCTGGCTAGATAGCTCTGTGCTTTAGGTTGAGAGTCTGATTCCCTCCTGTGCCTCCTGTGTGGCCTTGCGCAAGGTGCACAGTCCCAGTGTGTCCCCAGAACCCCAGAAGAAGGGAATGGAAAACCACCTCCAGAATATTCTCTACCTGAAAAACCCTGAAAAGGGTCACTGTGAGTCAAAATAGATGATGATGATGATGATGATGAT